CATACTGTCCATAATGTCTATACATCCCATCACACACACACACATATATACATATATATTATATACAGTGAGGGAAAAAAGTATTTGCTCCCCTGCTGATTTTGTAAGTTTGCCCACTGACAAAGAAATGATCAGTCTATAATTTTAATGGTAGGTTTATTTGAACAGTGAGAGACAGAATAACAACAAAAAAATCCAGAAAAACGCATGTCAAAAATGTTATAAATTGATATGCATTTTAATGAGGGAAATAAGTATTTGACCCCCTCTCAATCAGAAAGATTTCTGGCTCCCAGCTGTCTTTTATACAGGTAACGAGCTGAGATTAGGAGCACACTCTTAAAGGGAGTGCTCCTAATCTCAGTTTGTTACCTGTATAAAAGACCTGTCCACAGAAGCAATCAATCAATCAGATTCCAAACTCTCCACCATGGCCAATACCAAAGAGCTCTCCAAGGATGTCAGGGACAAGATTGTAGACCTACACAAGGCTGGAATGGGCTACAAGACCATCGCCAAACAGCTTGGTGAGAAGGTGACAACAGTTGGTGCGATTATTCGCAAATGGAAGAAACACAAAATAACTGTCGATCTCCCTCGGCCTGGGGCTCCATGCAAGATCTCACCTGGTGGAGTTACAATGATCATGAGAACGGTGAGGAATCAGCCCAGATCTACACGGGAGGATCTTGTCAATGATCTCAAGGCAGATGGGACCATAGTCACCAAGAAAACAATTGGTAACACAATATGCCGTGAAGGACTGAAATCCTGCAGCGCCCGCAAGGTCCCCCTGCTCAAGAAAGCACATACAGTTGAAGTCAGAACTTTACATACACCTTAGCCAAATACTTTTAAACTCAGTTTTTCACAATTCGTGACATTTAATCCTAGTAACAATTCCCTGTCTTAGGTCAGTTAGGATCACCACTTTATTTTAAGAATGTGAAATGTCAGAATAATAGTAGAGAATTATTTATTTCAGCTTTTATTTCTTTCAGCACATTCCCAGTGGGTCAGAAGTTTACATACACTCAATTAGTATTTGGTAGCATTGCCTTTAAATTGTTTAACTTGGGTGAATCGTTTAAGGTAGCCTTCCACAAGCTTCCCACAATAAATTATGGCCCATTCCTCCTGACAGAGCTGGTGTAACTGAGTCAGGTTTGTAGGCCTCCTTGCTCGCACACGCTTTTTCAGTTCTGCCCACAAATCTTCTATAGGATTGAGGTCAGGGCTTTGTGATGGCCACTCCAATACCTTGACTTTGTTGTCCTTAAGCCATTTTACCACAACTTTGGAAGTATGCTTGGGCTCATTGTCCATTTGGAAGACGTATTTGCAACCATGCTTTAACTTCCTGACTGATGTCTTGAGATGTTGCTTCAATATATCCAGATCATTTTCCTTCCTCATGATTCCATGTATTTTGTGATGTGCACCAGTCCCTCCTGCAGCAAAGCACCCCCACAGCATGATGCTGCCACCCCCATGCATCATGGTTGGGATGGTGTTCTTCGGCTTGCAAGCGTTCCCCTTTTTCCTCCAAACATAACGATGGTCATTATGGCCAAACAGTTCTATTTTTGTTTCATCAGACCAGAGGACATTTCTCCAAAAAGTATGATCTTTGTCCCCATGTGCAGTTGCAAACCGTAGTCTGGCTTTTTTATGGCGGTTTTTGAGCAGTGGTTTTTTCCTTGCTGAGCGGCCTTTCAGGTTATGTCGATATAGGACTAATTTTACTGTGGATATAGATACTTTTGTACCTGTTTCCTCCAGCATCTTCACAAGGTCCTTTGCTGTTGTTCTGGGGTTGATTTGCACCAAAGTACGTTCATCTCTAGGTGACGGAACGCGTCTCCTTCCTGAGCGGTATGACGGCTGCGTGGTCCCATGGTGTTTATACTTGCGTACTATTGTTTGTACAGATGAACGTGGTACCTTCAGGTGTTTGGAAATTGCTCCCAAGGATGAACCAGACTTGTGGAGGTCTACAGTTTTTTTTCCAGAGGTCTTGGCTGATTTCTTTTGATTTTCCCATGATGCAAAGAGGCACTGAGTTTGAAGGTATGTCTTGAAATACATCCACAGGTACACCTCCAATTGACTCAAATTATGTCAATTAGCCTATCAGAAGCTTTAAAGCCATGACATAATTTTCTGGAATTTTCCAAGCTGTTTAAAGGCACAGTCAACTTAGTGTATGTAAACTTCTGACCCACTGGAAATGTGATACATTGAATTATAAGTGAAATAATCTGTCTGTAAACAATTGTTGGAAAAATTACTTGTGTCATGCACAAAGTAGATGTCATATCCGACTTGCTAAAACTATAGTTTGTTAACAAGAAATGTGTGGAGTGGTTGAAAAACAAGTTTTAATGACTCCAACCTAAGTGTATGTAAACTTCTGACTTCAACTGTATACAGGGCTGTCTGATGTTTGCCAATGAACATCTGAATGATTCAGAGGAGAACTGGGTGAAAGTGTTGTGGTCAGATGAGACCAAAATGGAGCTCTTTGGCATCAACTCAACTCGCCGTGTTTGGAGGAGGAGGAATGCTGCCTATGACCCCAACAAAACCATCCCCACCATAAAACATGGAGGTGGAAACATTATGCTTTGGGGGTGTTTTTCTGCTAAGGGGACAGGACAATTTCACCGCATCAAAGGGACGATGGACGGGGCCATGTACCGTCAAATCTTGGGTGAGAACCTCCTTCCCTCAGCCAGGGCATTGAAAATGGGTCGTGGATGGGTATTCCAGCATGACAATGACCCAAAACACACGGCCAAGGCAACAAAGGAGTGGCTCAAGAAGAAGCACATTAAGGTCCTGGAGTGGCCTAGCCAGTCTCCAGACCTTAATCCCATAGAAAATCTGTGGAGGGAGCTGTAGGTTCGAGTTGCCAAACGTCAGGCTCGAAACTATAATGACTTGGAGAAGATCTGCAAAGAGGAGTGGAACAAAATCCCTCCTGAGATGAGTGCAAACCTGGTGGCCAACTACAAGAAACGCCTGACCTCTGTGATTGCCAACAAGGGTTTTGCCACCAAGTACTAAGTCATGTTTTGCAGAGGGGTCAAATACTTATTTCCCTCATTAAAATGCAAATCAATTTATAATATTTTTGACATGCGTTTTTCTGGATTTTTTTGTTGTTATTCTGTCTCTCACTGTTCAAATAAACCTACCATTAAAATTATAGACTGGTCATGTCTTTGTCAGTGGGCAAACATACAAAATCAGCAGGGGATCAAATACTTTTCCCCCTCACTGTGTATGTAAATGTGTACGTACCAGTAGCGGTCGGTGCCGTTTAAGATGAGGGAGGCTGCAAAAATGTTTTATGAGCATGGCCTTATTTCTGTTACAGTATATTGGATGACTGTCATTCATATTCCGTTCACCCAGTTCAATGTAACATTGATAGATTTAGGCTACTATATAATACTCTAATTGTCCATACACCCATCATGAGGTAGCTACAACCTAGCCTATGAATGAAAGTTTACAATGTAGGTGCACACAGGTCGAGAGAAAGATTTGAGGTGACAGAAAGTGACACATTCAATACCAACTTGCACACTCTAGCCTGCATCTAGCCGATCTAGGGTGTAGTCCAATAGTTGCAAACGAGAGTTTCTATTGGACAAATTCAGGTGGGCCTCCCGAGTGGGGCACTCGCAGTGCTAGAGGCGTCACTACAGACCCGGGTTCGATCCCAGGCTGTGTCGCAGCCGGCCGTGACCGGGAGACCCAATCGTGTCCTCTCCTCTCCAGGCGTTGGATGACCTGGAGAACCCGATCCATCGCTTCTCCCAAGCTGGCCAGCATCGTCGAATGATCCCGGACCCGTGTCACGACTCCAGGCATGTGCTCCTCTCCTGCTGATTCCATGGTGGTGTGTGATTCTGTGATAGATGATTTGAAGGAGTCAGGCGCAGGAGGGTAAATCACAGAATAACAGGATTTATTCCAGAATACAGAGTGACGCAGCAATGAGGCGCACTGGAATCAACAAGGCACACGGGGAAAATAACCCGGCAAAACAAAATACAAGGAGCTCAACCGAGCTTCACTCTCCTCACAGTAAACAATCAAAGACAAGGGGGCAGAGGGAACACTTATACAGGTACTGATGAGGGGATATGAATCAGGTGTGTGTAATAAACTAATGGAATGATGAGATGAGGAGTGGCAGTGGCTAGAAGGCCGGTGACGCCGAAGCCTGCCCGAACCAGGAGAGGAGGCAGCTTCGGAGGAAGTCGTTACATTCTGAGGGATTGTGCGTTCCTGGTGTAACTCGGGCAGTTGTTGTTGCCATCCTGTACCTGTCCCACAGGTGTGATGTTCGGATGTACCGATCCTGTGCAGGTGTTGTTACACGTGGTCTACCACTGCGAGGACGATCAACTGTCCGTCCTGTCTCCCTGTAGTGCTGTCTTAGGCGTCACACAGTATGGACATTGCACTTTATTGCCCTGGCCACATCTGCAGTCCTCATGGCTCCTTGCAGCATGCCTAAGGCACGTTCACGCAGATGAGCAGGGACCCTGGGCATCTTTCTTTTGGTGTTTTTCAGAGTCAGTAAAAAGGCCTCTTTAGTGTCCTAAGTTTTCATAACTGTGACCTTAATTGCCTACCGTCTGTAAGCTGTTAGTGTCTTAACGACCGTTCCACAGGTGCATGTTCATTAATTGTTTATGGTTCATTGAACAAGCATGGGAAACAATGTTTAAACCCTTCACAATGAAGATCTGTGAAGTTATTTGGATTTTTACGAATTTTCTTTGAAAGACAGGGTCCCGAAAAAGGGACGTTTCTTTTTTTGCTGAGTTTACATACAAATGGGTTCAAGTTAAAACCTAGGCAACAGTAAAATGATTATGTATGGCAACTGTTGGAATACCCGCCCATACACCCATCATGCATTTGAACAATGTGCATTTGTTCGTACACTGGGTACATCGGCCACATTTGTAATTACCATCCGGCACATTGTCTAGGAAGGTGCTTCGTGGAAGATCAGATCTCACCATCATTTGACTAATGTTGGGGGCGCGTCTGAAGAATACCTGTGGAGGTTCTTTAAACGTATTTTCCAATTGTGGATCAGTGCTCAAGATGTTGCAGTGTTTTTTAATGATAGGGTTGAACTGTTTACCAAGTGGGGAGTACTGAAGGAAGCATTGAACGTCTTGGTCAGGAGGGCGGGGTGGTTTGGGCGTGAGACTGTCATCCTGGGTCATATTTTTATAACGATCCCTTGCGTCATGCAGCCATTCCTCCCGGTAACCCCACTGTCTGAAACGCTCATCCAGACAGTCTGTGTACTACAAATCCTGCGAATGCGACTGTATTGGCTGATGGGGAGGCTCTTTTTTAGGGGTGTAGGGTGGAAGCTGTCTCCACGTAACAGGGAATTCCTGTCCGTCAGCTTCCTTTATAGGTCCGTGCTAAAGCCACCCCCCTCCCTCTTTATCAAAATGTCCAGAAAAGTTGTTTCATGCTCATCAAAGGTGAGAGTGAATTTCAAATGTTCACTGCTTCTATCGAGGAAGTTCCTCTGCGGTGCCCTGGAAGAGAAGGAATATGTCATCAATGGAGCGTTTCCAGAGCTTGATATGGCGCAAGAACGGATTGTTAGGGCTGAAAATCAAATTCTTCTCAAACAACCCCACATATAGATTGGCATAATTCGGTGCCATGTTACTACCCATAGCAGTTCCCTTCTGTTGAATGAACATGCCATTTTCAAACATGAAAACGTTTTTAGTCAGAACAATCTCAGCAAGTTCAACAATAAAGTTAGTGCAAGGGAGTGTACCAGTGGGTTGTTGACTAAGATAGTGAATCCCATCTTTGAACAGTGGTGTAGGGTCATGTGACAATTGTTCAATTGTCTCATTCACATAATCATCACGGTTTAACAACACCACAGCTCCGTCCTTATCAGCATTACACACTATCAAAGTGAACTTTTTTTAATCATCCAATGCTTGTCTCTGTTCTTTAGATTATTGTAGACTCTGTATTCTCGTTTCTTATTCAGAATCTGAGACACATCTTTTTCCACCAATCTGTAGTATGTTTCTAAGGGAGGGATTTCAGGATCTGGCTCGAAAAGGGGTATTTGTTCTGTGGGAAATGACATTCTCTATTGTGTCACCCATAACCTGAACACTCGTCTCACCCATACTTGACACATCAACATTTGGACTCTTATCATTTATGGGACAGAAGAACTCCCTAAGTCTCAATGTACGAAAGAATGTCTGAAACTCTATTGTGGTGTCAAAGCTGTTCTGTGAGTGGTCTAATAAAAAAGCTCCCCTCCTTTGTAAAGGACACCAGCAGTATGATCTCTATTATTGAATCTCTTGATCCTCTCCCTGATAATACCTTGTTAGTTACTTTTGATGTTGAGTCGTTACACACGAATATTCCACACGAGGGCGGTATTGAAGCCATGGAACATTTTCTTCTGCAACGTGACCCAAATGAACTACCTTCCAGTGCATGCATTATAACATTGGCTGAAATAGTACTCACACACAACTACTTCATGTTTCTAAATTATTTCTTTATTCAGACGAAGGGTACTGCTATGGGAACCCCTATGGCTCCTAACTATCCTAATTTGAATGTGGGTTACATGGAGAAACAGTCAATTTTCAATCCTCTCAAAAATGTTTTCTTGCCTAACATTATTATTTGGAAACGGTCCATTGATGATATTTTTGTTCTATGGAGGGGTGATTCAAAACAGCTCCAGGCATTCCATGCATTTCTTAACTCTTGTTCTGAGCACCTGAGATTTACTATGCAATCTGACACACGTCAAATCAGTTTCCTTGATCTTCTGATTTTGTGTGAGAATAAATGTTCTATACACTGATCTTTACAGGAAACCTACTGATCGTAACAGTTTGTTGAGGGCTGATAGTTGTCACCCGCTTCCCTTGAAAAACAGTTTGCCCTACAGCCAATTCTGTCGAATCAAAATAATTTGTAAAAAACAAGTGTGTGCGGCTCTCCTTTTCTTTTTCAAGTGTTCTACTCCGTTAGCCAGCACCTCGCCTAAATAGGTGTGTGTTTCTTTCGCCTCTATATTAAATAGCCATCACTAGCACATTAGAGGCAGCTGCCTATAGCCATAGACTAGAAATCACTGGCCACTTTAAGAAATGGAACACAAGTCACTTTAATAATGTTTACATATCTTGCATTACTCATCTCATATGTATATACTGTATTCTATTTCCACAGAAAACACTGCTACTCCTACTGCTCTCTCCTCGTCTGACCATGTGTTCTCGCATACCCCGAGAGCATATGGTCAGCGGGGTGGTGGCACAGGAATCCTCATCTCTCCCAAGTGGACATTCTCTCTTTTTCCCCTCACCCATCTGTCTATCTCCTCATTTGAATTCCATGCTGTCACAGTCACTAGCCCATTCAAGCTTAACATCCTTATCATTTATCGGCCTCCAGGTTCCCTTGGAGAGTTCATCAATGAGCTTGACGCCTTGATAAGTTCCTTTCCTGAGGATGGCTCACCCCTCACAGTTCTGGGTGACTTTAACCTCCCTACGTCTACCTTTGACTCATTTCTCTCTGCCTCCTTCTTTCCACTCCTCTCCTCTTTTGACCTCACCCTCTCACCGTCTCCCCCTACTCACAAGGCTACGCTTGACCTCATCTTTACTAGATGCTGTTCTTCTACTAATCTCACTGCAACTCCCCTCCAAGTCTCCGACCACTACTTTGTATCCTTTTCTCTCTCACTCTCCTCCAACACTACTCACTCTGCCCCTACTCAAATGGTAATGCGCCGTCACGACCTTCGCTCTCTCTGTCCCGCTACTCTCTCCTCTTCCATCCTATCTTCTCTTCCCTCTGCTCAATCCTTCTCCCTCCAATCTCCTGATTCTGCCTCCTCAACCCTCCTCTCCTCCCTTTCTGCATATTTTGACTCTCTATGTCCCCTATCCTCCCGGCCGGCTCGGTCCTCCACTCCTGCTCCGTGACTTGAAGACTCATTGCGAGCTCACAGAACAGGGCTCCGGGCAGCCGAGTGGAAATGGAGGAAAACTAGACTCCCTGCCGACCTGTCATCTTTTCACTCCCTCCTCTCTACATTTTCTTCCTCTGTTTCTGCTGCTAAAGCCACTTTCTACCACTCTAAATTTCAAGCCTCTGCCTCTAACCCTAGGAAGCTCTTTGCCACCTTCTTCTCCCTGCTGAATCCTCCTCCTCCTCCCCCTCCCTCCTCCCTCTCTGTGGATGACTTCGTCAACCATTTTGAAAAGAAGGTTGACGACATCTGATCCTCATTTATTAAGTCAAATGACACCGCTGGTCCTGCTCACACTGCCCTACCCTATGCTTTGACTTCTTTCTCCCCTCTCTCTCCAGTGCAGTCAAAAACAGGATTTTCCTGTGTTTTATATATATCCACACTGTGAGGTGGGAATAATACTGTGAAATTGTGAAAATTATGATAGTGCCCTTTTAGTGTAAGAGCTGCTTGAAAAGACCGGCTTTAATTTCAGCCTGTTTTGGTGTGATGGAGTTTTGGACTTCACCAGTCAGTAAATTAGTTAATAGACCAATAACAAAGAGAGTTCCAAACCTCTCTGCCAATAACAGGTAGTTTTCAGTTTTCCCCTCCCCACTCAGTCCACTTTCAGACAGTCCTAGCAGAATTCTTGCTTGAGAAATTGCTCTTCGCTTATTATTATTTGTATTTATTTATTTTTTACCATTTTAATTTAAAACAATCACAGTATGGTACATAATTGGTTACACAGAAATGATTTGATATCGAGATAAAAACGTCTGCTTTGGACCTTTAAAATCACAACACTGTTAACATTATGCCTAACCCTAACCTTAAATTAAGACCAAAAAGCAAAAAACAAAAAATCATGCATTTTTACGATATAGTACATTTTGACTTTGATTTTGATCTGGAATACCTCACCATCAAATGCAGACCGCATTACTTCCCGAGAAAATTTTCTTCGGCATTGTCACGGCCGTATATATTCCCCCCCAAGCCGACACGGCATCTGCTCTCTGGGAACTACACTGGACATTGTGCAAACTGGAAACCACATATCCTGAGGCCGCATTTATTGTAGCTGGGGACATAAATAAAGTAAATCTGAGGAAAACGCTACCGAAGTTCTATAAACACATCTCCTGTGCTACTCGCGTGTCGAGCACTCTCCATTGCTACATAGCTTTCCGGGACGGCTACAAGGCCCTCCCCTGCCCTCCCTTCAGCAAATCAGATCACGCCTCCATTGTGCTCCTCTTCTCCTATAGGCAGAAACTTAAACAGGAAGTACCCGCTGTAAGGATTGTTCAATTTTGGTCTGACCAATCGGAATCTATTCTTCAAGATTGTTTTGATCACGTGGACTGGGAAATGTTCTGCATTGCCTCTGAGAATAGTATCAAAATATACACTGACTCGGTGACTGAGTTCATCAGGAAGTGCATAGAGGATGTTGTTCCCACTGTGACGATTCAAACTTGTCCAAACCAAAAACCGTGGATAGATGGCAGCATTTGCGCAAAACTGAAAGGGCCTACCACCGCATTTAACCGTGGCAAGGTTACAAGCAACATGGACGTCTACAAACAGACGAGCTATGCCCTCTGTAAAGATGAATGTGGCAGGGACTCCAGACAATCATTGATTATAAAGGGAAAGTCAGCCACGACGCAGACACCGACGCCTTGCTACAGACGCCTCGCTCCCGGACAAGCTAAACACCTTCTTCGCCCCTTCAAGGAAAACACAGAGCCGCCGACGCGGGCCACCACCGCTCACGAGGACTGTGACCTCTCGTTCTCTGTGGCTGACGTGAGTAAGACATTTAAGCGTTAACCCTCGCAAGGCTGCCAGCCCAGATGGCATCCCAAGCCGTGTCCTCAGAGCATGTGCAGACCAGCTGGCTGGAGTGTTTACGGACATATTCAATCTGTCCCTATCCCAGCCTGTTGTCCCCACTTGTATTTGTATTTATTATGGAACCCCATTGGCTGCTGCCAAGGCAGCAGTTACTCTTCCTGAGGTCCAGCAAAATTAAGGCAGTTATACAATTTTACATTTAGATTTCACAACACACTAAGTGTGTGCCCTTGCTTCAAGATGTCCACCATTGTTCCTGTACCCAAGAGAGAGAAAGTAACTGAACTAAATGACTATCGCCCCGTGGCACTCACTTCTGTCATCATGAAGTGCTTTGAGAGGCTAGATAAGGATCATATCACCTCCACCTTACCCGACACTCAAGACCAACTACAATTTGCATACCACCTCAACAGATCCACGGATGACGCAATCGCCATCTGGACAAGAGGAATACCTATGTAAGAATGCTGTTCATCGACTACAGCTCAGCCTTCAACACCATAGTGCCCTCG